GCCTCCCTCAAAAAAAAGCAACCCAGAGAACATAAATAACTACTATGTCTACTTTCTTACCTATATAAACATCTTATGAGAAGAGAATAGGCAGGTTTTTGCAATTGATTTTGTACAGTTTGCCTCAGTTCCTTATCTGTAAAATGAGCTGGAGAAGGAAATGGCAAACCACCCCAATATCTTTGCAAGAACCCCACAGGAGGGATCATGAAGAGTTGGACATGACTGAAATGAGTGAAGAACACTGGTCTTTTGTCAGTTCTTATCCTCAACCTATCTGTTTCATTGGATACTCCTGACCACCTTCTCTTTCTAGATACTTTCTCTTACTGGTTTTTCAAGATACTACCCTCTCCTAGTTCTATTTCTACATGTCAAAGCATTCTTTCTCCATCTCCTTTGCTAGCTCATAATCCACACCAGGTTCCTTAAATTGAACATGGACAGAACCATTTTCTTCATGGTTCTGTCCTAGGCCCTCTTCTCCCTCTAACACACTCTCGGTAACCTTGTCAGCTTCAATGGGTTTAACTAAAATGTCTACATTTCTATATGAAAGATGCACAGATTATCTATGTATCTATTGGTTTGTGTGTCTGTTTACCTACCCATCTACATATCTATCTATCTATGTGTCTGTCTGTCTGTCTGTCTGTCTATCTATCATTCCAGGTCTCTCCCTCGAGTTTCAGTCCTACATCACCATTTCAAACTGGATATTTCAGAAACATCTTAAATTCAATATGTACAAAATTGAACTCATTGTTGACTCCTCCCCCTGCAAAAATCCTCTCCTCTTCTAAATTTCCCTATTTCTGTCAAAGGTACCACCATTCTTCCAGTCTCTCGGTCTGACATGTCAACCACAAGCATTTATTAAACACTTACTGTGTGTCAGACGCTGTGCTGAATCCCTCACTTACTCAAATCTTGCTGTTTCTTCCTCCATGTCTCTTGCATCCAACTCTCCCCTCTACTCACACAGCTACCCCTCAGTTCAGGTCTCCATCAGTTCTCATCTAGATTATTCTAACTACCTCCTTTCCTCGAGCATCTGCCTATCTGAGTCCATTACATCATACACACTGCTGCCAAAATTATTTTCCTTAAGCACAAATTATTTCTCTCCTATTCAACCAACTCCACTGGCTTCCTGTTGCCTCTCAGAGAGATCAAATATAAACTGCTTTGTTTAGCTATTAAAGCCTTTTACAACCTGGCCCCAAACTATCTTTCCAGGATGTTAATCCCTCTCCCACATTCTTTGATCCAGCCAAACTGGCCTTATCTCTGTTCCTCACACATGACCCTCCATCTCCCATTCTCCATCATTTTACCCCCTTTGTCCCACGTGCCTAAAATGTACTCCTGCCTTACCTCTCTATCTCACAGGTCCCTCTGTTCCTGTAAGAGGCAGCTCAACAGACAGACTTAAAAAAAAAAAAACTAACTTGGAAAGACTTACATGAACTCATGCAGAGCGAAATGAGCAGAACCAGGAGAACATTGTACACAGTTACGGCCACATTGTGGGATGACTGACTTTGATAGACTTGGCTCTTCAGAGCAATGCAAGGATCTAAGACAACTCCAAAAGACTCACCATGGAAAATGCTATCCACAAACCAGAGAAAGAACTATGGAGCCTAAATACAGATGGAAGCAGACTATTTGCTCTCCTTTTCCCTTGTTGTTTTGTTTCATTGCTTCATTCTCGTGGTTCCTCCCATTAGTTCTGATTATTGTTTATACCATGACTAATGGGAAAACATGCTTAATATGAATGTATAAATAGAGCCTATCTCAGATTGCACACTGTCTTGGATGGGGGGGCGGGGAGAGGAGCGGGAAGGGGAGAAAATTTAAAACTCAAAATCTTATGGAAGTGAATATTGAAAACTAAAAATAAATGAATTAATTATCAAGAGGGAAAAAAAGAGGCAGCTCAAACATCATTTTCTACATGAAGTCTCTCTCCTGATCCTCCTAACTGCTAGTGCCTTCCCTCCCAACTTAACTGCTATTTAATTACTTTGAATTTATTTCTATTTATTCACCTCATATTTATGTTACGCATACATACTTATATACGTATACCTCTTCTCTCCCATTAGAGTGTAAGCTCCATATAAATAGGGATTGTTTCATTCTTTGTATTCATATCCCTAGTACAGTACCTAGCACACAGTAGGCACTTAATAAATGCTGGCTGATTGATTTATGTGCCAAACACAGTGCCACAGATTAAGGATATGAAACAAAACTGCCATGGTCTCACCATTCAAGAACCTTCCTTTCTATTGGGGGGATCCAGCATATATACAGGTAAGGAACTGAATACAAAATATATTATTTGTGGATGGATGCAAAGAACCTTCCCAAATGTGGCATGGCTGGCTCAGTGAGAAGCATTTTGCTGAATCTCTGTTATGTTGTAAAACTTTTCTTTTTAAAAACATTTTGGTATTTCATACTTTTTTCTGATCATATGTTCATTAATAGCATGTATACATTTCCATTTATTACATCTTTTAAGTGTTTCCTGCTTATTCTTTTTTCAAATGGATATCTGGATGAACATAAGATGGGGCAAGTAGATAGGAGATGAAAAACATAAAACAGCTGTGAGTCGAAGGGTAATGTTTTTAGATCTTGGCGGTTGCAAGAGAGGGCAAAAAGGGAAATGAACATTCTATATGTGTCTGTGCGTGTATATGTATATTTGTGTGTGGAATCAAGACATGCACGCAATCCATGTAAACATACATATCAGTGTACATACAATGTAACATCTATAAGTGTATATATGCACAAATACGTACAGTGTTAAGGGCTGTAAGAGGATGGAAAGAAAGACAAAGATAGTAATCATAACTGTGAATGTGAATGGGATGAACTCTCCTACAAAACAAAAGTGGATAGCATAATGGATTAAAAACTGTAATCCTACAATATGTTGTTTACAGGAAACACATCTTTGAACTTGTCTTTTTGAGTTCCCATATTTCCCAGAAACACTGAACCCAGAGCATGCAGGAGACCCTGAATGTGTCAAGGATGAAGCACCCCCTCAAGCTGACATAATATCTTGTTTGCAGCCCAAGCTGGACTTCTTGTATGCTCTTGGGAAGCAAGACAGGTGCCAGCCAGTTCGTGCCAGGCTGGGATAAGGCTTGTGTAGCTGGGATCCTTTGCAGATAGGCTCATTCTCCTACCTTCATAGCCTATTCTAGCAAGGGAAAAGAATGCTGCTTTTGCCATTGCCTCGTTCCTGCTCCTCCCCTTTGGGAGGGGCTACTGCACCTTTCCCCTCCCGTGCCACACCCCTTTCTGTTCTCTCCTCCTCCTTTTGTTGTACTGTCATAAATGTACAAACTTGTATGGGCACTATGAACGCTTGGGGTTCCACATGCGCGTTCATTTCTCTTGTAATAAAGCTGGTTTTCATGTGTGACGTCGTGATTGCCTGGTGACAAAAAGGCATGCTTTGTTTTGTTGTGCTTTGCTTTATTGCACTTTGTCAATATTGCGTTTTTTACAAACCGAAGGTTTGTGGCAACCCTGTGTAGAGCAAGTCTACCGGCGCCATTCTTCCAACAGCATGTGTTCACATAGTATCTCTGTGTCATATTTTGGTAATCTTTGCAATATTTCAAACTTTGTCACTATTATTACATCTGTTATGGTGATCTATGATCACTGATCTTTGATGTCACAGTTGTAATTGTTTTGAGGAGCCACAAACTGCACCCACATAAGATAGCAAAATTAATCAATAAATGTTGGATGTATCTGACTGACAGGGATCTCCTCTGGCCTCCCTACTCCCTGAGACACAATAATATTGAAATTAGGCCAATTAATAACCCTACAACGGTGGAGGGAAAGGAAGAGTCAATCCCTGTGGCTAATTTCGTTGTTATCTTATTTGAAGAAATTGCCACAGCCACCCCAACCTTCAGCAGCCACCACCCTGATCAGTTAGCAGCCATCAACATCAAGGCAAGACCCTCCACCAGCAAAAAGATTATGACTTTCACTGACAGCTCAGATGATTAGCATTTTTATCAATAAAGTATTTTTTCATTAAAGTATATACTTTTTTTAGACATAATATTAACAAATACTAAACTATAGTATATAGGGCAGCTAGGTAGCGCAGTGGATAGAGCTCCAGCCCTAAAGTCAGGAGGACCTGAGTTCAAATCTCACCTCAGACACTTCACACTTATTAGCTGTGTGACCCTGGGCAAGTCACTTAACCCCAATTGCCTCACCAAAAAACTACAGTATAGTGTAAACCTAACTTTTATACTCACTGGGAAACCAAAAAATTCATGTGACTTGCTTTATTATGATATTTCCTTTCTCGTGGTGCTTTGGAACCAAACCTGCAATATCTCTGAAGTATGCCTGTATACGCACACAGATCCAGTTTCTCCAGCTCCACATACAAAATATCCATCTCCATATATGTATAAACACATGTGTATACATACATGAATATACACCTAAATACATGATTCAGCTTCTCCAGCTAAGGCACGTATATTTCCAGGTCAGGAACTAAATCATATTCTTTCTTTGTACCCCTTAAGTACATGCCCATTGATTTCACATTTTTCTTAAGAATTTAAGAGCTTGAAGATACCTTAACAGTTATCTAGTGCAATCTCATCATTTTACATCTGAGGAAACTGAGGCCTAGAATGATAAAGTGGCCTGCTCAAGGTGACATAGGCAGTTGAGGAGCCGAACCAAGGTTGCAACTCTGATCCTTTGACTCAAAACTCAAAGCTCTTTCCATCCTAACATGTACTCTAATACAGTACTAGTGCCCATCCGATTTGACTTTTGCATTTCTCTTTCTTCAAATGCCCCTGGTCCTTGTCTATTCACTCTGCATGCAAGTCTGGCAGATGTTTCCAAAAGAAGCATACACCTACCATCCTTAAGTTTCTTTTTCACTTCCCTACGGACAGAAAAGACTCAATACTCACCACTCATGTTCAAATGCTGGAGCTTGTTCAAAGATTCAAAAGACAGTGGAAGAGCATTTATCAAGTTGTTACTGGCGTAGAAACTGACCAAACTTTTTAATTCTCCTATATTCTTTGGAAGTTCTTTTATATTGTTATGTGAGATATCAAGGATTTCAAGCTGAGTCAAATTAGACAGTTCACCTGAGAGTTGTGTTAACTGTAACAAAAGTTCAATAAAAAAGTTATGCCTTAAAAGTCATTCATGGAAAAAAATAAAAATTAAAAGAAAAGTCATTCATGCTATTTTTTCCCCCCCAAAATGACAGGGGAGTTGGTGAGGAAGATTGTCTTCAGGAGCAGTTATGGAGGGTAGATGGATTCAAACTGTTATGAGTCAGTCTATTATAAGCAGAGGTAACAGGACAGTAGGGAAAGGGGAAAGGAAATGCTGTACAATGGATGTGAAGATATTTGGATATATGTATGGACAATGATTAGCCCACATAAAACCTGCAATAATTTTCATATGATCTAAAGAACTAATGTAAACAAATTTAACAAAACATCCAACATACACAGAAACAAAAACAGAAGAATACATTATGACACATATATACTAGTTTTTGGATGGGACTACTAAATCAAAAGTGATGGATTTAATCAGACACAAGATGGATGTAATTCAAATATATCAATAAAAAATAAATTCTTGGGGTATTTAGGTGGCGCAGTGGATAGAGCACTAGCCCTGCAGTCAGTAGGACCTGAGTTAAAATGTGACCTCAGACACTTGACACTAGCTGTGTGACCCTGGGCAAGTCACTTAACCCCAAATGCCTGGCCAAAAAAAACAAAAACAAACAAACAAAAATTAATTCTTATCCCAACAAAACGTAAGGTACTAAATATCTAAAGGAAAGCAACCAAATGGAGAAAGTACAGGGTGACCTGAATGCTTTAATAGTTTGAAACTATAGCAAAGGTTTTTAGAACACCCTGTGTATGTGACAAATATAACTGATAAAAGCTGTAAAACAAAATATGCTAGAAAATTATAGAAATAAAAAAGATTAACGCTTCTTTTACAGTGGATAAGTAGTCTAAACAGATACATAAAATGTATGTACTCAGCCAAGCAGTGAAAAATGTAAATTAAAGGAATGTTAAAATATCATTATGTTACCTATTAAACTAGCAACCATAAATTAAAATGATTTAAAAACTATATTGGTAGGGATAGGGAGAAGCAGGCACATTTTTATTTTTCTAGGAAACTATATGTTTTCATAAAGGCGAAGGAAGCTTAATATTTCAACCTATATGTCAATGAACTTGAGAACAGTTTCATGCAAATTCTTAACGGACTCTGGTGGCATAGTGTTATATGTGTCAAACCTGGAGTCAGAAGAGATCAGAGTTTAAATGAACGCTTCTCCCATTACCTCTAACACATGCACATTTATTAATTGTGTTCTGGCACTTAGTTTCTCTAAGCCTCAGTCTCTTCATCTGGAAAATGGGGTTAATAACGTGTAACAGCTACATCACAATGTATTTGTGAAGCTCTGATGAGAAAATGTATAATCTTAAAGCACTAAATAAATATCGGAAAACATTAGAATGAATTATTAAGAGGACAGTTTTAAGGAAAGAGGTGATCACTAAAAGCCAGCATAGGTTCACTAAGACCTTTTAAGTCATGCCAGACCAATCTCTCTTTTTTTTTTTTAATAGGGTCACTAAACTGTTTTAGGTCTGGGGAATGCTGAGGAGATGATGATGATGATGATGATTGCTGGCAAATTTTTTAAATTACTTTAAGGTTTACAAAGCAATTGACCTTCCCTGTCTTATTTGAATCTTATGACAACTATTAATATCCTTCTCATTTTATAGATGAAGGAATCTGGATTTTATCAAGGTACTTGACAGTCACTTTATAACATTCTTGAGGACAAGATGAAAAGATGAATACTGAACGATAACACAGGTAGGTTCAAAACTGGTTAATTTTGGATGGGAGAGATCTTGACTTAAGTAAAAAGTGATAGATATAATCAGACATAAATGGATATATTCAAATATGAAAACAAAAAAAAATTCTTTACCCTACAAAATGTTAATGTATCAAAAGGAAAGCAACAAAATGGCGAAAATATGAAGTGTTGTTAATTTAATATTAGTAGTTAATTATTATTGCTATTATTAATATGTGACATTATTTAATATTTAGGTAGTATCAAATAATGAATCAATGTCAACCTGAAGGCAAGTCTTCAGTTGGGTGCAACATGGCTCTGTGTTTGGCCAAGTTCTCTTCTTATCGATGATTTGAAAGAAAGAAGAATTAGTAGGCATATAAAGTTTTCCATAAAAACACATAACTGAGAGGGACAGGTAAAATATTAGAAGACAGAATCAGGATCCCAAAAGATTCTGACAGCCTGGAATGGTGGACTGAATAGAACAAGATGAAGGAAGAATAGCAATAGTCCTACACTTGCAGTAAAATAAATCTATTGCTACATATACAGAAGTGGGGAGATTTGGCGAGAAAATGGCTCAAGTGAAAAACAATTAGGGGTCTAACAGATAGCAAGGTCAACATGAGTCATCATGTGATATAGTAGCAGTCCAAAAAGTGATGTAGTTCTTGGATGCAAGAACAGAAGTCTACAAATTTCAGCTCGATTTTTTTTTTTGGCAACTCTCCAACAACCAGAATTGTACAAAATTGGAAAGAAATGCCTCAGGACTTAGTGAGTGAGGACTCTGTCAATAGAGGTATTCCAGCAAAGGATCCTTGCTGTGCTCTAGAACTTCTGAAGTTTCTATGGTTCTATGATTTTAGAGAGGATTCCCACAAGTGACTTCTTAATGTTTATTTAAAAGGGAACGTGAGGGATAAGCTGTTTTAGCTACTGGCACCAGCTGTCAGGTAAGCTATTTTTTTCCTGTCTAGTTCCCTTATTAAAAGCTGTATCTGTAACCTTTATTTAAAAGGAGTAGCAAATAGGTTTAATTTAAGAAGCTAAATGTTTTAGAGCTCACTGATAAATACCAGCTCAAACACTTTTTTCCTTTAAGGAGGGGAAAAAATTATTCTTCTCTTACCTTCCATCCATTCTTCTGGCATAACTTCAACTCCTTCAGGGTAGATAGCTGACACAATTCAATCGGAAAACATTCAAATCTGTTGCTTGATAAGTCCAAGTATTGGATCACTTGTAGGTTACTGATTTCAGAAGGGACATACTGTATTTGGTTTTCGGAAAGATCAAGTGTCTGTAGGTTTTCTAAAGTGCACAGTTCTTTGGGGAAATTTTCAAATACATTGTCACTTAAAATAAGCACCCGGAGAGAAGCCATATCAGAGATAGACAGTGGAATCTGAAGTATTTTGTTCTTACTAAGATCTAAGTAACTGAGGTTTATAAGTCTACATATGTAGTCAGAAAAGGAAGATAAATTGTTTTGATTTAATTCTAAGTGAACTAGTTGTCTACTAAATGAGAGGTCAACAGGTATTTCTGAAAGCTCATTTCCATTAAGGTTCAAATGCTCAAGAAAGTTCAGAGCACAAAGGCCTACTGGGAAATCACTTAGTTTATTAAAGCTGAAGTCCACTTTCCTTATCTGATGGCAATTTTTTATTTCAATCGGAATGTCTTTGATTGCATTTCCAGAAAATTCTAACGCCTTGAGATATTTCAGATGGGAGATGTCTTCATTAAGGGCCACCATTTTATTACGGTTGATGTTGAGTGCTCTCAGGTTTGTAAGTCTGTGAATGTTAGCAGGAATTATTTCTAAGTCATTGTCACTAAGGCTAAGATATTCTAGCTTAGCACAGGAATACATTTCTTTATTTAGCTGTTTCAATAAATTTTTGTCAAGTTGGAGGACCTTGAGTTCTTTGAAGTTCTCAATGTTGTGGGAAAGATATTCCAGTTTATTATCAACCAGATGGAGCCTTTTTAGTTTCAGCAACCGAAAGATTTGCACAGGTAAAAATGTCAGTTTATTGTGGTCCAGGAAAAATTCTTCCAAATTCTTTAGCTGTCTGATTTCTTTTGGCAAACTGCTTATGAGATTTTTTGAGACACTTAGCTTAATTAACTTTAGAAGGTGGCAAATGATGTTAGGAAATATTGAAAACTGATTTGAGCTGAGATTGAGGACCTCTAAATTTGTCATATTGGCCATTGTTTCTGGTAGACCTTTTAGGCTATTTCCAGACAAGCTTAAAAATTCCAACTTTTCAAGACTTCCTAGTATTTTAGGAAATTCCAAAAAATTATTATTATCCAAGAAAAGTTGCCTTAGACACACAAGCTGTGATATTTCTGCTGGGAGGGAGGCTATGTAGTTGTGGCTGACATTCAACACAATTAGATTACAGAGCAATATAATTTCTGGTGGTAGTGCTATTAATTCATTTTCTTTCATGGACAATACTTCAAGACCTGCCATATTTGGCTCCACTTGAAAAGTTTTTATTTTGTTTTTATCTAAATAGAGATATTTTACATCCTGAGTTTTTAAAAGGCCTTTGGGAAATTTCTGCAAATTCTTGGAATTCAGCCTAACTCTGAAGTTTTTGTTTTCTATGTAGCTCTCAAATAGTAATCCTTTTTCACTGTAGTCTTCAGAAGTTTGTGGAGCAACCTCTATTATTGTTTTCTCTTCCTCCTCCTCCTCCTCCTCCTCCTCTTCTTCATCCTCACCATAATCATAGCTCATAACATACCTTGCTTCTTCATCTGGTAGAGAGGTGATCACTTCTTCTGGTTTATCAATTGGTAATTCCTCAACTATGGCTGTATTGTCAATGTCTTTATTATCAATATCTTTGTTGTCAAAGTCTTTGTTGTCAATGTCTTTGTTGTCAATATCTTCTTGAGATCCTCGGAGGATATCTTTTTCATTTAGATCAGAAGTTTTAGGAGTCACTGTAACATCAGGATGGCTTGCTGGATGTGGTTGGGTCTTTTTGTCAGCATCATTTTCAGGATTTTCCTCAAGGTTTTTTCCTCCTAAGTCAGTAGTACTTTCATCCTTTTCTTTTTCAGGAGAGAAATGTGCTGTTACTGGATTTTCTTGGTTTCCAAGTAGTTCTGAATGGGACATTTTTTAAAAAATCCTTTCTAATTTGTTCCCTGATTTCTTTCACTTCTTCAGCAGCATCCTTTCTTCAAACATGCTATTTGTTGGGGAGTTTTCTGCCAATGCAAGATGGTAACTGGTTTTAATGAGCATTTTTACCTACTTTGTCTGAAAGTATAAGTTTAAAGGTTTTGATACTATATGACAAGAGGGGATATGTAGTGAACATGTCAAGATCATGGACAAAGTTTATTCTCTCAACTTGACCTCTATATCAGTGAGATTCATTCTTTGATGAATTCAGAGAATACTTTTCAGTGGAAACTGGGATGAATACTTTGAAGGAGGTTAAATCTATCCTCAAAAAAAAGTGGTGTTTTATAGTCCGTGTTTCCTACATACCTATGATCGAGTTAATCTATGCCACTTGTAGTTATAGGATAACTCTAATTTCAATTATTTCATGTATAATGAAGAGTCTTTGCTATCTAAGAGCTCTTCTAACCCAGAACCCTATAATTCTGTAATTATAAACACCTATAATCCCATATTCACACCTATGCATATGTACACATATATGATTAAGATAGAATGGGAAGATAGAGAGAGGCAGAGTTGGGACAGAGGCAGTGTTGCATTGTGGATAGAGAACTGACCCTGGTATCAGGAAGGAGGGCTCAAGACCTACTTCCAACATACACTGGCTATGTGACTGTGGGCAAGTTACTTCCTTTCTCAGTGCCTTCAGACAACTCTCCAAGATGAAAAATTGCAAAGTAAGTGCTAATCTGCATTGGTACAGGAAGCTCCTTATATTGAGAGAGCTCTCAAGGTCAATGAAATCATAAGTTTGATCCGTGCTGGGTATGTGATACAAATGAGGTCCCCTTTCTTTGGACCATTCACAGTACTTTATTATGCCTCTATTAACTAATTATCATGTATTATCTTGTCTTAGTCAATAGTCAATAAACATTTATTAAGTACCTACAATGTGCTAGGCACTATGCTCAGCACAGGGGATAGAAATATAAATAAAAACAAAGACAGTCCCTGTTCTCAAGGAGCTTATGATTCAATATCTTATTATTAATTCTTGTATGTGTTATTCAAGGACATGTATGACCAGAAAAAAAAAAAGAGGCTATGTTGGTCATGTAGCAAGAATATGGGAGGTAGACAACCAATAGCCCTGGAATGGCAGTGTTTTCTTCAAAGTAATAAAAGTCATGCTGAGGAAGGGCTCCTGATTGGGGAATATGCTGTACCTGTTTCTAGGTACTCGGAGAGAACCTGGGCAGTTAGATTTATTCAGCCTGGTCCCAAAGAGCAGAACTAGCCGCTATGAGGGAAAGTCCAAAGAGGCAAGTTTGGGCCGTATGTCAGGAAAGATTTCCTTACCATTTGACCTAAAAAAATTGGGAAGGAGCTCCAGAGAGATAACAGACTCAAGAGAGGCAGAATGAAGTGAGAGTGAGTGTGTGTGTGTGTGTGTGTCTATCTTTCTATCTCTGCACACACACACACACACACACACACACACACACACACATTTTGGATGTGGCTAATGCAGAAATTTATTTTCCTTGACTCCTCATATTTGTAATGGATTTTGTCTCTCTTGATTTCTCAGTAGGTGGAATAGGAGGAGGTAGAAGGGAGAGAATTCAGAACTGAAAATAAAATAAAATTAATTCTTTAAAAAAGTAGAATGGGATTGCCTTGGAAGGTGGTGGGTTTCCCCTTCACTGAAGGCCTTCAAGCAGAGAGGATAGCTGACCATTTATTTGATGTGTTGTAGCAGGTGCTCTTTTTAAGTAGATGTAGGTCAGAGGACTACTGAGGTCCCTTCCACCTCTGAAAGTCCATGAATTTTGTGTGTTGCTGTGATCCTGAGTGGAGGAGTTATAAAAAGATATAGAAGAGCATTATTCAGGATGAGAAAGCATGGAACAGTTTCCAGGTCCACCTTTAGGCAGAACTCTCAAGCCAATGACACCATGGGCCCACTGATGTATGGAAGAAGTAACTATGAATCCCTGCCCCTCATTATTATTAGGCTTGAAGCTCTGAGAGGGCAACATCTTATTTCAATTTTTAATCTTCACCAGAACCTAGCAGAGTTCTCTCTGCACATAGTAGGGGCTTAATAAATGTCTGAAAGGGGATTGAGCTGTCTTGGGAGGTAGGTGGTTCCCCCTCATTGGAGGCTTGCATTGGAAGGTTAGATGACCATTTGTTATGGAAAGTTGTAAAGGGTAACTTTGGTCAGATATGAGTTAGACTAGACAGGTCTCTAAAGCTTTTTTCAACTCTTGGATCCTTAGATTCCTTTCCTTAGTTTGAAAGAGGCATGATTAGGACATTCTAGGAGGAACAATTCAGGTCCAGGAACAAAAGTGAGTTCAAGGTCAGGATCATTAAAGGGACTTCTACTTTTCTCTTGGACTAGAGAATCCATAAATGGAAGTGATGAGAAATGAGGTGAATGCAATGGAAGAAAGTGGTGGGAAGAAATGCCCTGAGGATATGGTACAGAAGTCCATCTAGGGCCCAATGGATGATAGGGAGCCCGGCTAAGTTTGTAAGTAGACATGACTGAAAAGGTTTAGAGGAAGACATTCCAATTGCTTTCAAAGACGCTGTAAATGGGGAGACTAGCCTGGGAGGCGGTTGCAGCTCAGGTATAAAATGATGTTCTAGCCTGGTCTTGGGCCCCAAAGAGGAAGAGTAGGGTCCAAGAGACCTAAAGAAGGAGTTGGGGTCCCAACAAGCCCCCGTCCTATTCAAGGATCCCCCAATTCTTTCTTGATCCCTCAGTTATTTGCATGTCTTCCCCGGTGAAATTTCTTTTGCATGGACACATTCATCTGTGAATACATTGCATTGTATCTGGAGTAAGGAAGCTCCTTGAGGGCAGGGACTGTTTTGTTTTTGTCTTTGTGTCACCAGCACTAACCATGGTGCTTTGCATATAGCTGCTGCAGGCTACTTAATAAGTATTTTATTGCACTGAGTTGTATTGGCCTGGATAAAAGGAGAGTGTTATTTTATAATCTGAAAAGTTTATAACCATACTAAACTTTATATAACAGTAAACCAACTGAATATTACATTCAAAACTATTTATAATTTAAAAAAATAAGTCAACGTGAAATTTTAACAGCCAACACCCTCTAAATAAGATTGCTTTGATTACACATTTATGTAAGTCAACAATCAATTATTAAATGCTAACTTTGTACCAGGCACTTTCTCAAGCACTAAAGATACAAAGAAAGGAAAAACCAGTATCTGTCCTCAAAGGGCTTGCAGTCTAATTAAGGAAACAACATGCAAACAATATATGTATTGTATATACGAGATAGAAATGGGGTATATGGAGAAAATCAAGACAAAAGCATTAAGCTGTTGTTCAGCCATTTCAGTTGTGTCTGACTCTTGGTGACCCCATTTGGGGCTTTCTTGACAAAGATATTGGAATGGTTTGCCATTTCTTTCTCCAGCTCATTTTGCAGATGAGGAAACTAAGGCAAACAGGGTTAAGTGACTTACTCAGGGTCACACAGTTAGGAAGTGTCTGAGGTTGGATTTGAACTCCGGAAGATGAGTTTGCCTGACTCCAAGCTCAGGGATCGGTAAAGTCTTCTTATAGAAAGTGTGATTTTATTTTTTAATTAAATTTTTTTTTTGGCCAGGCAATGGGGTTAAGTGACTGCCCCAAGAAAGTATGGTTTAGCTGGGATTTGAAGAAAGCCAGCAAAGCCAGGAGGCAGAGAGGAGGGAGCGAGAGCATTCCAGGCATGAAGAACATCCACTTAAGTGGAAAAGTGTTTCATAAAAGTAGAACAGAAATCTAAAGGCTTTATGATACTTTACTACACATTTTCTTGCAGTAGCATGTATAATTGAGCATTGACGAAGAACAGCCACCTAAGTGGAAAAGTGTTTCATAAAATCCGAAGGCTTTACGATACTTTACTACACATTTTCTTGCAGTAGCATATATAATTGAGCATTGACTTTACCTACATTTCCTTATGCTGCGTGACTAAAAAGACTAGAGAGAAGGGCTTTGGGTTTGGTTTGGTTTTGTTTTTTAAGAAATGTAGAGTCGGGGCAGCTAGGTGGTGCAGTGGATAGAGCTCTGGCCTTGGAGTCAGGAGGACCTGAGTTCAAATTCAGCCTCAAACACTTAATACTTACTAGCTGTATGACCTTGGGCAAGTCACTTAACCCCAATAGCCTCATCAAAAAAAAAAGAAAGAAAGAAACGTAGAGTCTCTTTTATTACTTTGTACTTCTGCCTTCTCTTTACATTTGCCATTTTTGGGCTATGTTGCTCAGCTGGTGTGGTGGCTGATGAGGTAAATGTGGTGAATCTCTGTATCAGTCTGAAGCATGGACTAAGAGTAGGAAAGGACTTCAGAGGTTGTCTAGATTAACCCCTTCATTTTACAAATGAGGAAACTGAGGCCCAGAAATGTTGAGCTACCTGCCCAAGGTCACACATGGAGGAAGGAAGTGACTAACCAAGCTGACACTCATTTCACATCCAGTTCCATGTTCCACAATCACAGACAGCCCCTCACCCCCAGACGACAGTCTGGAAAACAGGTATAGTTAGTCATAGAGAGAATAACTAAATGAGAATGTGGGCTAGACAAGGTGGATTTAGCACTACTGCTAAGAAAACAGAGAGGCAGTTCTGGATCTGGGGCTTTTGTGTCTGATACATGCTAGCTCTGGGATCCTGTGGAAATCATTTAACCAAGTGTCAGCAGGCCACAAGCAGCCAAAACTCCCCTGCATGACCCAAACCAGATGATGCTGTCATTGGGAAATGTTTCACAAAAACCACAAACCACCAAAACCACAACACAGTTAATGTTGATCTGTGGCTCTTTAAGTCAAAACAGGGTTTGACACCACCTATCCATGTGCTCTAGCTAGCTCTCTAAGGCTCTAAGTTGAAAAGGTCTGAAATTGCATTTGTAGAGGGAGTTCCGTTACCTGAGAGTTAATTTCCCATGCCAATGAAATCCCAGGTCCTGTTCCTATCCACTACACTCCGTTCATGTTAGGTTGATAATATCATCATAGATATAAAGATAATACCTTTTAAACTGGAATCCTAGATACAAATTTAGAAACTTTTTGCTACATGTGGTGTAGTTTTAGAAATTAAAATTTTGGAAGTATAAAAGGAGGTGAAAATAGTGGTAAATTCCATAGCAGTTACGTGATCTTACATGAAAACCAGCAGTACACTAACTGTATACACCAACCTCAGGATCCTTTAAATAAAAAAAGGATACACAGATATGAGGTTATAACTGGAAGCCTTTAGTCTAGTTCTTGAGTGAAGAAAAGACTAGAGGTGGAGAAAGAGAGAGAGAGAGAGAGAGAGAGAGAGAGAGAGAGAGAGAGAGAGAGAGAGAGAGAGAGAGAGAGAGGTTACATTATGGATAAAAACAAAGTTCATCTTTTATAATAAGAGATCACCAAAACATCTTCATTTCTTTTGCCTGGAAACTGAGGGTTTTATAACATGAACGTTTAAAATGGTGTAAAGTACACCTGTTAGAATCATGAAGTATCAGAAACTTTCTGTGGTATACCTGAAAATTGCAGTGAGACAAAGTGTCTAGGGGCTCCTGTTCTTTGGAGATGTTCTTTGGAGAGCCCTGTAGAGACCAGCCATCAAGTGAGTGGGAGAAAGAGAAGAGAAGTTCAGATTGTCACTTTCTGGAACCTTCACTTGCTCCCATCATCTCTATCTGTGTTCTCCATCTAGAGGCAGTGAGGATCAGACTAGGGTGGGAGGCTCATCATTTGCCTAGGGGAAGACAGAGTGATCCAACAGGAGTTTTTCCCATTGGCCCAAGACTGGAAAAAGATTTTTGCAATACCTTTCCTCCCACTCCTTCCTTAGGGGATTTTGCAAATTAAGGAATTATCTCAAGGAGACTGCTCAGGCCCTCAAGGAGATAGAGAATAACTAGAATAGAAAAGGAAAATCAGATGGTGAGGTGAGGAAGCAGAAGCAAGGCTAAATAAAGTAGAAGTTGGAAAAAGAAGACTGAGGTCTGCCTCAGTTCTAGTATTTCAGGAAGCTAGGCCACAAAAAGAGGCCATGGGGAAATACTTCCTTCTCCACTGGCTGTGTCCAATCTTAAAGGGAAGCTAGGGATTGAGTTGAAAAAGTGAAAAGGAGATAGAGACACAAAAAAAGGAGTAATGATTCAGTTTTTGCAATTTGTCCATGATTTATGTAAATCCCTAAGGCTGGATCAATGTAATCTTACTGAATACTTCAGAAGGATATCAATATTTGATGATAATTACTGAAAGCCAAAATTTGGCTGTGAACCATGAAATACCATAATGGCTAAGGAACCCCTCCAACAGCATGTAAGCTTTTTGTGAGCAGGGATTGTTTCATTCTTTGAGTTTGCATTCCCAGATTGTAGCATAGTATCTGGTGCAATGCTCACTGATTGGATGACTGAAGACTCAAAATTTCAGGTGATCCAAAGGGTAATGAAAAGAGTGGTTGAGATAAGTAGGCAAATGAGCTAAGATGACTGGTCTAAGAGAAGTGGTGAAAAAGGTACTATTATCAAGTGGCTCCCTTCAGCGAAAAAGGTGGGCCTACCTGGTAGCTATACTGGCATCCAGGAAATAGGAAAAGAGCTCCAATGGCTGGGGAAAGCCCCTATGGAGTTTTTACCAAAGACTTGGACAACACTTCTCCAGGATGAGAAGACACAGATAAGATGAGATCCCATAGGGCTCCTCTTCCAAGCAACAAAGCACTATTTTCTTAAATCAAGATGTTGTTTAGTCGTTTTCAGTTACATCTGACTCTTCCTGACCCCATTTGGGGTTTTGTTGGCAAAGATTCTGGAGTGTTTTACCATTTTATTTTGTAGCTCATTTGACAGATGAGGAAACTGAGGCAAACTGGGTTAAGTGACTTGTCCAGAGTCACATAGCTAGGACCAGTCTGAGGCCACATTTGAACTCTAGTCTTCTTGACTGCAGGCTCAGGACTCTATCCACTGCGCCAACTGGGTGCCTTAAATCAAGATACTTGTTTGACCAAAGAGATCATACAAATGGGAGAAGGACTCACATGTACAAAAATATTCATAGCAGCTCTTCTTGTGGTGGCAAAGAATTGGAAATTGAGAGGATGCCCATCAGTTGGGGAATGGCTGAGCACGTTGTGGTATATGAATGTAATGGAATACTATTTAGCTGTAAGAAATGATGAACAGGCCGACTTCAGAAAAACCTGGAAAGACTTGTTTGGTCTGATGCTGAGTGAAGTGAGCAGAACCAAGAGGACTTTGTACATGATAACAGCCACGTTATGCAATGACTAAGATTGTTAAACTGAACCCTTCTCAGCATTACGAGGATCTAAGACATCTCCAGAGGCCTCAGATGGAAAATGCTGTCCACATCCAAAGAAAGAACTATGGAAGTCGAATCGCTATCACTTATTTTTACCTTCTGTTGAGTTTTGTTTCCTTTTTCTGATGGTTCCTCCTATTGGTTTTAATAATTTTTATTACAACTTCACCAATGTGAAAATATGTTTAATAGGAATGTAAATGTATAGCCTATATCAGATTGTGCACTGTCTTGGGGAGGGGGGGGGAGGAAGGGGGAGAAAAATTTTCAACTCAAAAGCATATGGAAGTGATTGTTGATAAATCAAAATAAATTAATAAAATTTTTTAAAAAGAAAAATATTTTAAAAAAAGATACTTGTTTGAAATGAAACCCTGTTAGAGGGATTCTGCTACCAGAGGTGAGGAACTTGTGGCTTTCAAGGCCCCATGTGGTCCTCTAGGTCCTCAAGTGTGGCCCTTTGACTGAATCCAAATTTCACAGAACAAATCCTCTTAAAAAAAGGATTTGTTCTGTAAAATGGACTCAGTCAAAAGGCCACACCTAAGAACCTAGAAGGCCACACGTGGCCTCAAGGCCGCAGGTTCCCCACCCTTGTGCTAGGCACTGTATTCTGCCAACACTGACATTTCTAAAAATGTGACATTTTAAAAATTAAGCTGCCTGTTTGAAAAATAAGGAAATCTTGTATTATTTTCAAGGGAGCAGGCCTCTACAAACTCAATGGTGACTAAAAATTCTAGGATTGCAAAGACAGTTGAAAAGGGGAGTAAAGAGAAAGAAAATGAAAAGCAAAATCTTTTGCTGTTTCTGAACAACCACAGCAAAGATGGGGTCAAAAGTAATTTGAAGGGGGAAGAGTATGGGGAGTACTTAATTCAGCTTGCTAGGACTACTTGCCCCTCCATGTTATGGGCAAGGGAGCAGGTTGGACTAGATGGTCACTGGGGTCTCTTCCCGCTCAAATTCTGGGATTCTTAGACTTGGAAAAGAGAAGAGGAAATACTGGTGCAGAATGTTGCTTATCCTCTCAGACTCAGTCTAGAAGGGTGCAGAATGGAATGTAATCTGCAGAACATTACAGACATCAGACCTATGCAGACACACTGGGTTCCCAAATCGGATAAAGTGTATTTTCGGAAATGGAAGCTGAGTGGAAAAGAGAGGCTGGACCTGTGATTTCTTTGGGATAGGGAAGTCCCAGATAAGGAAACTCCTTCTGCTAGTGAAGGACCCCACCTTCTCCGTAACTTCTAGTCCCAGAGGTGAAAAGTTCTGTCCACTCTGCTAGGTCAATTTGAAAAGTAAAAACAGCAAAGGGGTCGGGCTGGGTGCGCGCTGGGCTGAGGGCGGGCGAGGCCTTGGCGCTGCGAGTAAGCGCGTGTAACGTACCTGGCGAACCTGCTGGGACCCCTGGGGGTGCCCAGGTGGAGCTGGCTAGGCGCGCCCTGCCCAGGGGCGTTCAGGACTGGCCTAGCACGTTCTGGGAACCGCAGGCAGCAGCCTGAGGCTCGAAGGGGGGCGGAGGTGGGGGCAGGCTGGAGGGCCACGGCCAATGGGGGTGAGGCGGCGAGGAAACCGAGGCCGCTGCAGGAGAGGGAGCGGCGTTCTGCCAGGTCTGCCAAGCCATCGCGCCGGGTACTCCCTGGAGACGGGGCCCCTCCCGGACTGTTTGTGAGATGGCTGTGGCGTAGGTAGTACACGGATGCCGGCCACCGGGCCGGGGGGGGGGGTCCAGATCGTTCCGCAGCCACCCCCCCCCCGGCTGCGGGGGTCGGACCCCCGGGAGCCCCGCTTTGGGGCCGGGGCCGGGCTGGCGTCAGGTTCTCTAACCATGCCAGGGGCGGTGGATCGGGGAGCCTCATCGGCCTGTGGCCACTGAATGGGGAAACTTGGGAGCGCCCACTGTTCCACCGGACTCATTGGATTCGTTTCTTCCTCTACCTGCTGCTCCCACGCACTTCTGTTATCGCTCCCAGTGGAAAGGCCCACCCCCACTGTATCCCACTAAGGAGCCCAGGCCACTGACCCACGCCAAAGGATACATAGCTGGCGGGGGTGGGGTGGGGAGTCCCCCAGGACTGGCACCCAAACTATTCTGCCCAGGCACAGACACATATTCAATCAAAGTCCTGCCAAGAGTAACAAAGCAATGCAGAAATTAAAGCTATCTATGTTGTAAGAAAAAAAAATGCTCTTAATTACTGATTACAGAAATGCAAAGTAAAGCAGCTCTGAGGTACCATCTCACACCTATCAGATTGGCTAATATGACACAAAAGGAAGATTATAAATGTTGGAGATGTGGGAAAATTGGGATACTAACACATTGTTGGTGGAGTCGTGAACTGATTGGAGAGCAATTTTGGAACTGTGCCCAAAGGGCTATAAAAATGTGCATACCCTTTGACCCAGCAATACCACTGCTAGCGCTGTATCCCAAAGAGAGCATAAAAATGGGAAAGGGACCCCCATGAACAAAAATATGTATAGCAGCTCTTTCTGTGATGGCAAAGAATTGGAAATTGAGGGGATGCCCATCAACTGGGGAATGGCTGAACAAGCTGTGGTATATGAATGTAATAGAATACATTAGCGCTATAAGAAATGATGAGCAGGTGGATTTCAAGAAAACTTGGAAAGACTCATATGATCTGATGCTGAGTGAAGTGAGAAGAACCAGGAGAACATTACCTACAGTAACAGCCACATTGTGAAATGATCAAAAATGACTGACTTAGCTCTTCTCAGCAATACATTGATCCAAGACAATTCCAAAAGACCCGTGATGGAAAATGCTATCCACATGCAGAGAAAGAACGAATAGAGTCTGAATGCAGATCAAAGCATACTATTTTCACTTTTTTTTTTGGTGGCTTTTCCCTTTTGTTTTACTTCTTCTTTCACAACATGAGTCATATGGAAGTATGTTTACATGACTGCACAAATATAACCTGTATCAGATTACTTCCCTCTTGTAGATGGGGGATAGCAGGGAGGGAGGGAGAAAAAAATTTGGAACTCAAAATTTTATAAAAAAATAAATGCTGAAAACTATCTTTACATGTAATTGGAAAAAACAAAATACCATTTCAAAAAGAAAAGTAACAAAGCACACTCTTGCCATGGAAATATGATTGCTTCACTGTCTATAAGGAAATTGGGTCAGAAACTTCAGAGAGACACCCTCATCTCCACATTAACTAGTAATACTGGTTCTTGAACTACCTAACAAGTTTCATTGTTGATAAATCAGGGGGATCTAATCTCATACCTTCTTTGCTCTTTCCACCTGCCCACTGAATATAGAACGTGGTACTCTTGCTACTGTGTTCTGCTTGACAGGATCTGCCCTCCACATAAGCTTTGTATTTATCAGCAAAACGTGATTATAAAAGAATGTGCTGATGTACGCTTCATGAGGATCCAGAATGGCTTAAAACAAAACCAACAACAAAATAGCCATCTTTAAACTACTCAGCACTAGAGTTGATAACATCAATCACCTGTCATCCACGTCTGCTCATCCTGTGTGCGCCTTTTGAAGGCTTTTTAAAAAATATCTTCCCCCAATTATCATGCATTTCTTTCTTTTTCTCCCTCTGCCCACTAGAAAGAAAGGAAGAAGAGAAGGTCAAGTCCTTGTATCATATAAGCATAGCCAAACAAAACAAAATTGTTTCTCATTCTGCATTGGCCCCCCATATCTCTGTCATGAGATAGGCAGCATTTTTCATCAATTTTCTGGAACCATGGTTGATTTAATTTATTTGAATTTTTAAGTCTTTCAGAATTGTTTGATTTTACAATATTAATGTTATGGTATAAATCGCTCTCCTAGCTCTGCTCTCTTCTTCGTTCTATATCAATCCATACAATTCTTCCCAAGTCTCTTTGAACCTCTCTCTTTATTTCATACAGAGCAGTAACATTTTTTTAAACCTTTAATTCAATTTTATTTTCACTTCCAAATTCTCTCCCTCCCCCCACTGAGAAAGCAAGAACAAATAGAACCTATTACAAATTGTATATTATACACAACAAACTTCTCACCTTAGCCATATTTTTTAAAAAGGGGGTGGCAAGAAAAAAAGAAACAGAAGAAAACTTGTCAAAATCTGCTCTCTGAGTCCATCTGTTCTCTCTTTGGAGGTGGGTAGGTATTATAGGTGTTTAGGGGAAACCATCACCGCTGGTGTGAGGGCTTGTCAAGCTGTTTTCAGGACTTATATTTCATCCACCTTTGGTGCCCACCCAGCACTCAACTCTTACCTGTGGCTCTAAGAAGCCATAGCAAAAGCAGCAGCCACACTAATAAAACATCTTGGTAGACAGGCTAAACCAGGTTAAGGGTAACCAAGAGGCTACCAACCTTTTAGTGAGTGATTTCCACCCCAGGGAAATGGGTGGATGAGAACAGTTTGTTCCAACAGCCATGAAGGCAGCTGAAGCAGGAGCTATGGAGTGCTTGGAGCTTGGTCGGACATCAAAGACTCCGAGGTCATCCACAGCAATCACCAGTAGTCCTGACTTCCCTCTTGCCACTGGATTGTGATTACTCTAGAGGAGGGAGAGTGAGACTGCTGACTTTGGGCAACTCTGCCTCAATTAAATTCATGTCTAAGTCAAGACAACACCCCGTGATGTCACTAGTCCTCTTTGAAAACGAAGGACAAACAGCTGGAGGTACATAGCCTGTTTCATCCTGAGTCCTACAGAAGTGTGGTTGACCGTGGTGTTGATCAGAATTCCTAAGTCTTTCAAAGTTGATGAACTTTAAAATACTGCTGTTACTGTGTAAATTGCTCTCTGCATCAATTCATATAAGTTTTCCCAGGTTTTTCTGACCTTCTTCATTGCTTCTTACAGCATCATGGTATTTCATTGCATTCATACACCATGATTAGACTCTCTCCAGTTATCTATTAGCCCTCTCTCCAGCTGTCTCTCATTCCCTTTTTACTACTAGTATATTACTTTCCCTCAATTATTATATTTTATATCTCTTCCACCAGCAAGTACAAATATTCAAATATATGAACAAAACCAAAAGAAAACAATAAAAAGCAAATATAAATGGCTGTATTTGATCATAAGGTCATACTTAGAGCTGTAAGGGACCTTAGAAATTATCTAGTCTACTCTCATTTTACAGATGAGGAAATAATTGTTTTGAAAATAGGATTGCAAACCAGCTAGTCCTACTGGTTTCCATAATCCCCTTCTGAACATTCTTGTCAATTGGTTAATCTTTTTTTTTTTGCTTTTTTTTGGTGAGGCAATCGGGGTTAAGTGACTTGCCCAGGGTCACACAGCTAAGTAAATGTTAAGTGTCGAGGCCACATTTGAACTCAGGTCCTCCTGACTCCAAGGCCAGCGCCACCTAGCTGCCCCTGAATTGGTTAGTTTTGTTGCTCTCAGTCCCCCACTGCATCCTGGGCCATCTCCAGTCGTCCTGATCTACATCTGGCCACTGGACCGCGACGGCTCCAGAGGAGAGAGTCAGGCTGGTAACTGTGCACAGTCTTTCCTCACTTAAATCCAAATCACTTGCATGTCATGGCGTCACCTCCTTGATGCCATGGTCCTCTTCAAGAACAAAGGACAAACGCCAGCAAGCCAGCAACTTTTATTTCCACAGTGGTATTCAGTATGTAAACGGCTGAACTGTAGCCAACTTTATTAAACATCAACACTTAAAGAAAAACAAGACAATTCCTTGAGTAGGCTGAAATATTGAAAAACAAAGTACTGCAGCTACTTCTAAAATCTCATTATTTTTAGTAAAATGATGGCAAAGTCTTTGAAATCTTTTGATGAAAAACAAAAATGTTAATATCTAGACCAGGGGTAGGGAACCTGTGGCCTGAGGCCACACATGGCCCTCTAGGTCCTCAAGTGCAGCCCTTTGAATTCAGACTTCACAGAACAATCCCTCTTAATAAAAGGATTTGTTCTGTAAAACGTGGCCTCAGTCAAAAGGCCTCATCCAAGGACCTAGAAGGCCACAGGTTCCCCATCTCTGAAGACATTTCACTTTGTGTAATCAAATTTGATGCACACAATGGGCTTTTTCCATGCTGCTACAACTAAAAAGCCCCATGTGAAATTCTAAGTGAATTTAAGCTTAGACTGAGATTTGCAAATTGCATCTGCATTTTCCCGGAAGCCTGAAGGCTTATCCCGTTTGTGGTTAGTACATATCGGCTTCATTTGCCTTCTGCTACCAGTCCCTGCAAGTCCACACTGTTGTCCAAGTTGTGTTTTCTTTCCTCCTCCAAAAAATCTAAAGTAGTTTACAGTACATGTGAATAAACTAACATTTAGAAAAAGCCATGATTATTATTTCATTTGCAATTCTAAATAGAGTGCTATGTGCTTATATGAACGTGCTAATTACTGCATTTTAAGTCAGGAGATGAGACCCCAATTTACTAGTGTTTCGAGTCAGATTCTTTTTTAATTTAAAAATGTTACTTCTGATGTGGCTGGGAACTTACCTTTCTCCTCAAGTTACGGATAAATTTGATCCTTCTGTTCCTTTTTAAGTGCATGTACAGGTTTCTTTCTTCCTACCTTTGAGGAACTAAACTTTCAGTTT